AGTGCTCAAAGACATGGTAAGTTTAATATCTATCCAGTTACTTAGGCAATTCATGTTCTAACTTTTCCCAGCATGAGGATCAACATTCCAGTCTCCAATAACTTATATGCTATAACTCCATTTTCAAAACGGCAAAAGGTAGTTAAACAGTTTAATATAACAGAAAGACATCAGTTTCATCTATGGTTGCCTTTGACATTGTCACATTTCTTGCTTAAAATAAAGAAAAAACAACCAAGGAAGAAGGAATTCTCAAAAGGTTTTAAAGGTTCCTCCAAAAGCAAACTCATCTCCTGTTTGACAGACACTGGACGATGTTGAACTGTGTCCAGAGCTTTCTCCACTTATTCATTGGGTGTTATTTGTCTCTTTCAATGTTAAAACGTTAAATGAAAACAGGACAGGAACCAAGAGCTTTCTCCACTTATTCATTGGGTGTTGTCTCTTTCAATGTTAAAATGTTAAATGAAAACAGGACAGGAACCGGCCTCTGAGCTCAAGAGCCCTCATCCCAGGCAACACTAACAGAATTCCTCTGATTTCATCTTAAATCTCAATCTTAAAACCACTTGGTGTTCTGGATCACTACATCTAACGGAAAATGTTCTAAAAATCTCACCACTACCAGAGCTATAGGTTCCAGGCTACATTTATTTATGGACAGCTCTATTTATGCCATTATTTTCTGATAGCTTAATTTATTACTTATCCCTCACTGGTGCCACCTCTATGGATGTTTTTATAGGCATATTTGTCCTCAGCCTTTATTTACACTAATTATGCAAATGAAACAAGTGCTTCTGGTCTTCTTTTGTATAACAACATCTGTATGCAACAAGTGACCAAAACCAGACAAGGAACACCAGCAATGAAGTCTCCCCAAGGTCCTGCAGCAGTCGTAATAACTTTCCTGTCTCCACTGAAAATGCCTCATCTGGAACATCCTGACATCTCATTTATTCTTTTCATTAAACTGATGACCTGGTGGTGCTGTAATGTATCCATACATCTGTCTCCTTCTCATTCGTTCACAACAGTTCATTCTGCAACTCACTACAGAAAAATTTATTAGTCCTTAATTCAGCAAATCCCAGATTTTTTCCGAGTATTACCCTACCTAGGGAAGAACAGTGTAAAACAATCCCCAAAACCAGCACAGTACCAATCTGGCAATTTCTGTCTGCTCTGTGATATCTGTCACTGCCACAACCTCGCTTAGAGACACAATCACTGCAGGCACCACACCAAGTATCTGATCAGCACTCTGAAGTTACATTTCGGCTCCTGCAGTTCTTCAGTATCCAAGTTCTTCCTCTGCTATGCCTCTGTAGCAACACATTGACTCCCTGCAGGGAAGTCACGAACAGATTAATTTTAGCATGAGTTTTGAGTCTGTTGAGCTTTCTGAAATGGTGAAAAGTCCAGGAAAGCTGACACAGATCAGCCATTCTGGAGGACTGCAGTGCCCAGAGCCGTATATTCAGCAGAGCAGAACTGCAGTCCCAGTAGTGCACTTATACACTTCCACATTCATTACATGTCACTACTGATGTAAAAACAAACCATAATTTCAGCACATCTTTTCTGAGTTAAAGCACAAAGCTATATGACTACTTCCTTAAGACTTAAGGTGACAAACCTCACTAAACTCCTTCTATAGCATAAACTTACAAAGAGGAAACCCGATGAAAAAGCCCAGAGATACCACAAATGGTGGCAGGAGCTGAGCTGCAGAGAATCTACAATATTCCAAATATGCTTTTTAGAAGCAGGTGATAATTATCACCCACACACAGAGGGGTGTCTGTGTTAGGTCTGTTGATACCTTCATCTAACAAATTTAATCCTTTAGCCCAAGTACTTCAGAAGTTTCTGTACTGCAACATTGTCAACAATCTATTCAAACCATCTTTGCCATTGCTCATTTTCTGGCATGGATAGGAAGAGTTTCTTTGATTTCTAGAGGCTTTGGAGCAGGTTTCCTAGGAAACAGTTTCAGCCACCCTGGCATGGGTCAGCTTATACCTTATTCCACAGGAGCATCAAACCAGTGCAGCAAAGACCACTGTGCTGACCAGTATGGCTGAGTAGTGTGGATACTTTAATACTTTAAGCTATGCTAAAATGTCTGTACAAAAGCAGAAATAGCAGATGCTGTCATGACAATGACACTACTGATACCTTTTAGCAAGGATAACTTATCAGAGCATATACCACCTTTTTACTGACCAAATGTTTTGAAAATGTTCTGGATGCGAGCGATAATTCTGCTTCTCCTAATAAATTCCTAACCATTTACAGCTGTTTGTGGAATAACAAAAATTAACTAAGTGCATCCAATGCAAAATATGTCTCAGCCATCACTGATATTAACAGTTTCCTTTCAACTCAATTTGAATTAAAATAGGACTGGGGAACATTATTACTTTCTTTTTTTTTTTTTTCTTAGGTGGTAATAAACACTTTTGCTTCGACCTTTCAAAGGAAAGATGTTACTACCATTGCAAATGCATAATTATGATGGCAATAAAAGAATAGCTTTAACTGTTCTTTGTTTTGTTTTGTTTTTTTTCTGAACAGAATTTTGCCATGCATTTTAAACAAGAACAGTCTAGGAATAATTCATTGCATCTTCAGGCAACACAATTTTATTCCTATCAACAGAAAAGAAAGAGGGTTTTCAAACTACATATTAAATAGTCTGCATTCTTTCCCATGATATTCTTCTGCCAAAACTGCAGAGAAATATAGTAAACATTAAAATGGTTTCTAATTATATAAACCACTTATTTCATTTACCTAAGTGAATAAGCTGAAAACAAAACAATCCAAAAGTCTGTAGGCTTTCTGTATGAAATAAGAGCCTGGGCTCCAGTTTTGAATATAACTAATGGCATCCATCTCAATATCCATCTCAATTTATTTTTGAGAGGGCAGTTTCCATTGCCATGAGCCCACATAAAGCAGACCACACGTAGGGATACTTTTGGATAATTCATTGGCATAGTTCAGGATAGCTTTATTTGTTTATTGCACTGTTCAATATAAGGTCTAGTTTCCAGGAGAAAAAATTCACATGTACCAATTCTTCTGAAGTCTTATATGGAAAATTCAAGTGGTCTAGTTTCCAGGAGAAAAAATTCACATATACCAATTCTTCTGAAGTCTTATACAGAAAATTCAAGCGAGTCTTAAAACTTTTGCAAGGTTCTGGGAGAGCCTTCAATGAGGATTAAATGTCCCAGGATATTTTCAGAGTTGTGGCAGAAAGCAGACTTAAGAACCAACAACACCTATTGGGAAAACAAAAGAAGATGGAACAGATATTTCTGTGGCAGAAAGCAGACTTAAGAACCAACAACTCCTATTGGGAAAACGAAAGAAGATGGAACAGATATTTCTTGACACATTCAGAGAATATTAGTCACTATCAAAGCTGTTTTCCATGCAACATTAGAAAAACATAATTTAAAAATGGTGGCAGCTAAGACTGTTCATGGAAAATTTTAGAATTGCTTTGATTTGGGGGGGCACCCTACATTTTACCATTTGTAAGACAGCAATCTGATTCAAAGATACTTCATCCTAGAACATAATATCTTTTCAAATTTATAGCTTAAACAACAAAGTAAGTGATTGTGAATTCTGTCTGCAGCAAGGGATTATGCAAACTGAAATGGAAAGTAGCTTCTTTATTTCAAGCAACTGAGAAAAAAATGAATGGAAAGTATAAAACTCATAAGAATAAAATTATTTGTCGAGCACTGGAATTCACAAGTATCTTACCCAACTTAAAGACTTCCAAGCTCTCCAATTATTTCTCCCTCTAAATGTGCATCTCCTTCAGCTGTTAAGAATCTATCCTTTCTATGGGCTAAAAGAGCACAAAAAATCCCTGATCTTGTCAAAATTATATGAAAGTCCAGAGTACTTGGTATCTCATAAAAGAGTCCTATCTCTGTATTAATGCCAGTTACCTCTGAACCCTAATTTTCTTGCAAAAGACAGATAGTTTACTCCATCTGAGCACTGTGGAGAAGCAAAAGACATAACGGTGTTCCCTTCTCTCTGGTGCTTAGTGCACAAGTGCCATGTACGTCCCCAGAACCAGGAAGGGGATTTACTGATTGCATTGTAACACATTGGGAGAAATACTTTGTGCAATGCTAGCTTGGTATTTTATTTCTTCCAAAAGAGCACAGAGCAGAAAGAGAAACACTTTATGACTCCCAGAGATTACCTGTGAATTGCATTTCCATTGTATGGACAAATAATATCCATGGCTGGGTAAACAAAGACATTCTTACACTGTATTTGCTCTGCTCCACATTTACATCTGCGTAACACCTAGGAGTAAAAGTTCTGAAACTAATGCAGTTATGGTGTGTGATATTGGTGCAAATGAAATCAGAAGCCAAATTCCTGACCCTGTAGAAGCAGCAATATCAAAGATGACTTAGAAAGGCAATAAGGAGCTGCAGAGCAGATTGAAAAGGAAATGATTCCCCAGCCTAAGTCTTCGGTATTGATGGCAAATCAATGCCTTCCAATGTGAATTGTTGTAGCCCTCCGGCATCAACTGAGTTTCTCAGAAAAGTATATTTTGTTCCTAATCTTTCAAGAGCTGTTCTCAATGCTACATCTAAATCAGACTCATTTTTCTAGCTATTTTTCATGCAAAATAAAAACAGGAGGGGAAAAAAAATATATTTGCAGCTCTTTGTGAGTGTAACTGAATCTCTTCACTCCTTTCCACTTTTACTGCTTCAAATGTTTCACAACAAAGGCAAACCTGCAAAATCCAATTCCAATAAACTTGTGTTTGTTTTGTTCTTTAAATGTGTTTTTTCTCATGACATACCTTTCATTAATGAAAGAATGCTTCTTAGTCAGAGAGGAAGGATTTAAAGAAAAGGGCAAGAATATAAAGAACATAAATTAACTTTCGTTATAGAATCAGCTTTTCTTAGACATAGGCAGAGCTACATCACTATCAGCAGAACACGTTGATGAAAATCAAAATATAAAATACTTTAATTTTCCTTCATATTCCAGATCTAGCCTAAAGGTTGCACAACTGAGAGACTCAGTACATACACTTCATTTTAACTAAAGTCTTGGAACAGAAAAAAACCCCTTTCCCCCAGCCATGCTGCCCACAATGCACAAAGGGAGATTGAACAGAGCACTAGGGGAAAGCAGTGCCACTGGGGCACGGGCTGGTGATGCTCACTGTGATCACACATTTGGGAAAGCTCCATGGTGAAATGGCAGCAGGAACAGAGTTAGACCTTAAGCACAACCAAGTTCAGTAATTTTCTGGTTTGCTTGCTTTAGAAATGTTTCCTAATGCACAAGAGCATACACTTATTAATGAATTCTATGCAACACAGACCAGAGGAGAAAGCAATTGAAAAATGGTAATAGCTCAAAAAAATAAAGCAAGGCAGGCATATTAAAAAGAAACAAAAGAACTTTGTATTGCCAGAGCCACAGGTCTAAGTGCTCAAAAAAAAAAAAATCAAAACCAAAACAAAACACCCAAATCTATTGAGGCTCTCTTTTATACTCTGCAGTTGAACCTGCAAAGTGTCATTAGAAATTTTTTAAGTGAAATGTCACAGTGTACTGGGAAAAGACAACCGGGTTTTTGGGGCAAATTCACATTTGACCTGTTTGATGTATTTTCCTCTGTGTCCTAATTGAGCTTAACAGTTCACTGGCACTCAATCATCAGTATTTATTCCAAGTAAATTCAAGGCGCCCTGAGTTTATAGACCTTGAAGGCAGTTTCTGTTCATAGCTATTGATATCATCAAGAAATGAAACTTAACACAGGAAAGACCAAGGGGATGGACAAGAACCACAGCCATAAACTGTAAGGTGTGGCTTTCTGCAAAAAAATGGGAATAATCTCCCTCCCTTTCAGCTCCTTCTTATTCTTCTTTTCCTCTATTTCTGCTGATTTCCTCTCATTCTTAGATGACAAAACAAGGACAGAATTGTGCTTTCTGATTCCTCTCATAACTTCTGTGGTTGACTTCAAACTCATCTGTAACTGCCCTGTGTTTCAAACAATTTTATGCCACAGCCTCATTGGAGAAAAAAAATTATACTTTGATTTTTTAGGTTATTTTTTGTTATTTATGAAAAACAACTGCAAATTTGACTGGCTAAGAAAGTAGTCTGCTTCACTGTCTGTCATTCCAGTGACTTGTTACTTCATTGATTAAATCAAACACCAATGGCCATCTAAAATCATCTTTCGCTTGCTGCTTAGTTTAACTATTTGCTTCAGAAATTTCAGCTTCTAGGATGATGATCACTTAATATTTAATCAGGGATTTCCAGACAGAAAGAGCAACAAGATAATTTTATGCTTATTTCACTGTTTGTAAAAACGAGTCTTTTGTTTTAAACAAAGGTGTAACATTTCAGGAAAAGATGGGTGTGATTTGGCATTTTTAATTTCAAAACTTAAAAACTTAATTCATTTTTTGTTAATTTTTGAGTGCAGCAGTTGAAATAAAAAACCTATTATTTGTACAGCCTGTGAAGCTTTATTAGCTTTAGGAGACCTTTAAGGAGAATCTTGAAGCACTGGTCATCTTACCCTTCAATATAACAGAGCAAACCGACCCATAGGAGGTTCAATGTTCGAAAAAAAGAGAAATAACTTTATTTTGAAAATGTTGTTAGCACAATTAAGTATGCCAAACTGGCAACCTGCACTCTTACCGTGATTTCTAGCAGCTCTGGGGCATGAGTGACAGTGTTCAACCAGATTAAAGTACATTTTTTGCTGGAAAGCTCTACTGTGTCAGTTCTCAAGCACTGAACAGGTGAAACGTTCAGTATAAATATGGATTTGCCTGATTACACTTTGAGAACTTGGAGAGAAAAATCCTTCCATTTATTACCTATGATATTCCAATGATAAATAATTCTAGGAATAATTTCATATGCACAGCTGGTACTACAAGACTTGCTAATTAAATATCAAGGCAAAGTAATTAGACTCTCAGGTGTTCTGAAATTACAGAAATCCTGAATGATGTTGAAGTAATACTTACCATTCCTGGCAGGTATGAAAACACAGCAACAAGCAAAGTGCACTTGTAAATCAATACACAGAGAGCTTAAGTATGGTGGTAAAACTATGCAGTTAAGTCTTCTACCTGTGCAATATCCCATGTACACCTATACGTACCTAGATATGGATGTACAGATGTACGTTCACCAAAGGTGAAAGTGATACCATGCTTCAGTGTGCTGCCTTCCCTTATAATACTGATCTTCCTTCTGCAATGATTTACAGTTAACTGCTAAAAAGTGCTTTAGAAGAACCAAATATTAATAATGCTGTTGTATGTGTGGACAGATGCCCCTTCTGTATCTTTAATTGATGATCGGTATATGTATCAGTAATAATAAGTATTCTCACAAGAAAAATCTTGTGCATTACAGTCCCAGCCAGCAGGAAAGCTTGTAAACTGGTGCCAGACGTTAAATGAAAAATTGCTTTATGTTTCCCACAGGAAGACATAAAACAAGTTAAGGATGGCACCATAACATCTATATGTAAGATGATTTAATTATGTTAGCTGAAATTTTATAAAAATATCAACCTAAGGCATGTAGTTATGGGAAATTTCAATGTTTTGGTTTTTTTTTTCCCTGGCAAAACTATAAACTGTAGGAAGTTACCTACAAAAAGAAAATCTGTTGTGTAAACATGTGACATATTGTGTTAAAAATGGTAGCTGAGCTAGTATTTGGCATAGCTAAAGAGGAAAAGACAGGACTGAATATTTGTGCTTAATGGAAACTACAGTAGGTAACAGACATTACACTGCCTGCAGAAAATAACAAATAATGATCACCAGCCAAGGAAATTGTTAGCCTCTGACACTAAACAGGACACTGCAGTTGCTCATTGACTACAAGCTATTATTTACTCAAATCACATCTAATAATTGAGGACAAGGAATATACTTGCAGACCACATTAGAAAAAGACACCAGGGTCAATAAAAGCCAAAACAAGGTGTCCAAATAAAACACCCTGTAACCTTATTCCATTATTAGGTCTACAGAGAAAAGGAATATTTTAGATAGCCAAATATAAGTAAGCAAATATATTACTCGGAAGAATCAATACAAACAAAGTTAGAGAAGATTTCCATGTTATTTTTTTTTGGAAAAGGAGGATCCTCAGCCAAGGGAAAAAAAAATAAAGAAATAAACATATGTAAGAAAGTCAGACTAAAAGGAAAATTATATAAAAGCATATTGATCTTTGCTTTCAGTAACTTTAATAATCAAATGTAAGAAAATCATTAATGGATGTTGAAATGCTAGTCCACATAAAAAAGGCTAATGCATATTATTAAATAGCATTATTACTTCCTTCTTTCAGGTGGTAAAAATGATGATAGTGGTTGTGCTGACATTTGCCATCTGCTGGCTGCCCTACCACATTTACTTCATAGTTACTGGGATCTATCAACAACTAAATCGGTGGAAATACATTCAGCAAATCTATTTGGCCAGCTTTTGGCTTGCCATGAGCTCTACAATGTACAATCCCATTATCTACTGCTGTCTTAATAAGAGGTAAGAGCTGTTTATGAAACAGATGGCATGCATGACTTCAATGAGAATATAAATGGTTTAAATGGGATAGAAGACAAAGAATTTTCACTTGAATAGTTTTCAGTTAATGGGAAAGAAAACAAGACACAAAAAACCCTTTCCCTTAGGTTTGTACTTGAAATGAAACCCAAAAAAACAAATGTGCGCTTTCAGTAAATATGCTGGTGTACTTAAAATTCCAGAGCAAAAGTCAGTATTCAGAAACCAGCCCTTCCCATTTCCATATGCAAAATTTAAAATCTATAGCAGTTTAATATTTTTTTGGCTCGCAAAACATTAAAATAAAGAAGCAAGGCAGTCATTAGTGATATACAGTGCAATCTGTTTGTTCACTAATTGTAGCCACAAATTTGTTTTGCAGTGCTGTAAGGATATAATAAAATGTGATTTACTGTGCATTTTATACATTACCATTAGATTTCTACTGAGCTCTGAGGTCTGTAAGAAGCTAATAAAACAAATATTTATATTGTCATTACTCAGTATTAAATTACAATACAGTTTGATAGCAACGCATATGCTCTGAATTTCAAAGGCAATGCACTTGGTGAGTTTGGTGAGACTTTACAGATATTGGGCAGTTTGAGGCTAGTGGATTGCAGAATGAACTCATGTTTTTCATTTCAGCTTGCAGGACCTGAATCTAAACAAACATCATCCTGGCCATCCTATTGTTCAGTATTTCTTCTAGTATTACTGGACAAAGACCACCAAGAACAATTAATTAGTTCACAAAGTCAGTATGAAACAGTAATGAATAAGTAAATTTAAATATTATTTGAAATATCCTTTGAATGAGCAACCAGTGTCAAGATTAATTGCTGACAAGCCTTATATCAATTTTGTTAAATATTTATAAAACCCCACTAAAGATCATGCAATACCTGTCAAAAGGAGTCTAATCGAAAATGAAATTACCAAATCCTGCCGAGTTTTTAGTGGTGTAAAACCACTGGAGTCTGCCTCCTTGATGAGTATAGCTTATGATGCTCAACGTTCATAGTCTTTTAAAATATCAAGGTAATGTCTGGTGTCTTACAGCCTTCTGCCTCTTTTAATCATTTACAACTGTTTAAAGAAAAGGTAAAATTTTAGTATGCCTGAATGAAATCCTAACTTAAATGGCAAATTTGCCATTAATTTCAACATAAACCAGATTTCACTGGGTGTCCAGTGTCTGTCAAATGCAAGGCAAGGAAGAGCCAGGCCTCATATTTTTTTCAGTCACTACCACAAAGCCTCTAAAACATTGCCATTTTATTCAAAACCTTTTTATGGCGGAGTTACAAAATACATTATTAATAAAAAAATTAACCTCTCTGATGTGGCTTATGTTGACACCAGTACATTGCAAAACTAAACATCTAGATTAAAGAATACAATTCAACAAAAGTTCACATTTTTGAGACATACTAAAGGTCACCTTATTCAGAATTTAATGAAAGAATGAAATACTGGTGAAAGTTTTCTTATAATTAAGTTCTATATTGAAATTAAGAAGCCAGAACATCTGCTTCCTTTTCATGCAGCAGGAAAATACAGCCTGTTGCTGGGAGTCAGATCAATTCATGCAGTATCATTATCTCTGCCAGATCTAGTACCAGACAGAGTTATAACACCTATCCTCAGCCTCATCTTCCAGGCTAATTAGGATATTACTTACATATCTAAATAAAGAAAGCATTATTTCAAGATTAAGAAAAACCGTGCCCTGAATGAGGAGGAGGACAGAAGGCAAGACAAAAAAATAATACAGTCTAAAGATGTTTGGGTTTTACAGCTTCCTTCACTAAACCCATTTCCATCAGTTCTTTCAATACCTTTTCATCATGTGGACCGTATCTAAACAAAGGAACGCTGAATAGCAAGCTAAATGCTCATTTATCATCATCTGATAGCTCTGTATCAAAATTAAAAAACTGAGGAAAGAAACTTATTTCTATGAGATCAATCAAATTACACGGAAAACTTAATCTAAATTTTTATCTGTAGTCATCATTGTGATAGCTGAGCCGTTGCTCCAAAAAGCTTACAGATACAATAAACAACACAGCTGATTGCTGAAACAAAAATGAGAGAAGCAAGACAAGTGAGAAAGTCTGGCAAGTTTTAGATCTAGTGAAAAAGGTGTTGTTTTTCCCAGTTACACATAAATATACAACAAACAATTTTTCTAATATATTTAACTTCTATTCTGGAAATGCATACAAACAAACAGGTGACAATAGTCCTCAGAGTAAACGTCTGCTTCTGAACTGAAAAAAAATAACATTGTATGAACATTGCAAGCACTGATGCGCTAAAGCCTTAAGATTTCAATTTATACATTGTTCACATATTCACAACTTTCCAGAATCTTCTTTAATTATTGCAAATAATTTTCCAAATATTTCAGATGAACAATTATTTGCCATTTAAGCATGTCTGTTAGAGAGGGAAACACAGAAGTGATATTGGAATCTGGAAGTTGGAATAGTATTTTAGAGAAAAGAATGCCACAAAGTTTCTTGCTGAGAGAAGATGAAAATATAGGTTTGGATTCCATCCCAGGTCAAATCAGAACAATTTCCATGAAGACAGTGCTATGAAAGCTGGTGTTTTTTTTTATTTCAGCATAAGCGAAGGAAGGAAAATTGAGTAGCAGGAAAATACCAATGTTAAAATACAGGGAAAAAATAGAAAATCAGAAACAGAAACGGGTTGTTCCTATTCTCTTTTTTACTTGAGTAGCAGGAAAATACCAATGTTAAAATGCAGGGAAAGTATAGAAAATCAGAAACAGGTTGTTCCTATTCTCTTTTTTACCCTATTCAGACTTTAGTCAAGCAAACTCCCACTGACTTCACCACAAACAAGATTAGGGGCAAAATAATTAGCCAAGTCAGTGTCCTATCAGCACAATATGTGTTTTCAGATGTGGTTGGCTCTCACAAGCACAGGCTTTAACCAAGCATCTTTCCTCCCAGGTTCCGAGCTGGCTTCAAACGAGCTTTCCAATGGTGCCCCTTCATTGAGGTGTCCAGCTACGATGAACTGGAGCTCAAGGCAGCCAGGTTCCATCCCACCCGGCAAAGCAGCCTCTACGCCGTGTCCAGAATGGAGTCCAGCATGACAGTGGTGTTTGACACCAATGATGGAGACAACACCCATACCAGCCGTAAGAAAAGAGCAGCTCCAAGGGACACCAGTTTCAATGGCTGTTCACAGAAGAATCCCAAGACTGTCCCCACAGCCTCAAGCCTCATCAGTTCACTGCACTCATCAGGAGACGATTACTCCTAAGTATTTCATGGTGACAACTGCTAGAAGGGCAGCCCTGGACAATGCTCTCCCACTTTGGGACTAGGTAGTCATACCACAGGAGAGCCAACATGCTGAACCCTAGCTATAAATATCATGAGACTTTCATGCATCACTTACTTTTCTGCTTTGGAGAGAAAGAGAAATTTGAAGACATATGTATGCAACCATCCAAAAGCGCAGTCACACCTTGTACGTGGCAATGTTTGTAAGGATTATCAAAAATAAGCCAATGGCATAAAAAACACTGTTTCAGTGGTATCTGACCTATGTCATTTATGTTTCACTTGCTGAAATGTAACAGGCTCCTTTACTTACTGAAGCTGAAATGCACGATGTTTTCTATTACAGGTGTATTAATTCTACAATAACAAAATTACATAAGATCAGATAAAAAAAAAAAATCTCTTTACAGCAGAAAAATTACATAAGATCAGATAAAAAAAAAATCTCTTTACAGCAAAGACCTAGTAAGTCCCTAGTCTATTCAATTCTTTTACAATTTAGCCTTATTCCCAGGCAAACAGACAAAATGAAGTTCACACGAATGAACTACAGCTCTGTCTGCAATAGTACAAGTTTTCAAACATATATAAAAATGCTTTTTTTACAAAGGAGAAAATATCTAAAAAACTAAGTTAAATTATATTGAACATTAGACTCCAGTGAAATGTGTACTTCAGGAGATTGTTTTGCCTAGATGGATGTCCTATAGCTTTGTATCTCAGTGCTAAGGGTAAGATCTTCTTTCAGTAACCCTAACAGGAGCTTTGTAATTGACTTTAGAAGGGTGAAAAGACTTTAAACTGGAGATTCACATATAAGAAAAATGCCACCATGGCAATGAACTCTGCTGAAGACACAGTAACATGTTTCACTAGGAAACAGCTTCACCAGCAAAAAAATATTTGGGCTGTTTTCCTAAATTTTCCATAGCTAGATGCACATAAAAATATCCCTCTGTCTACATCTGAAAACAGGCTAGGCATTATTACACAGACTCTTCCCCACCCAAATCAGTCAAAATCCACTGACCATCACTGTTGCAAAGAAAGCTGAACTTAATCTAAAAGGGACCGGAAGGAAGCCTTTGTTTCAGATAACTGGCTATATCAGCTGCATGGATCAACTCTTTGTGTGGATGTTTGTTCTCAAACAGTTACTTGAAACTTAAGCAAAAGAGTGTGTCTTCCCGAGTTAGTCAGAGCAGCACAGGGGAGTGTACACGTGGCTCAACCCAACACAGTACCAAAGCTGAGCAACTAATAAAGAGAAGCTTGAAGAGAAAAAAAGCTTGAGCTGGCTTTAGCCCATATTCTTTTCCAGCAACTGGGGATGCCCAGCATTGTAACAGTGAGTGTATCATAAGAGACTGGTAATGAGAATCATGTTTGTATTGTGATTCATCTGTACAGTCAATTGCTATATTCTACTAAGTGTAATTTGTATTCATATTGTGATTTCAGTGCAGTGCTGTATCACCCTGCTAAATCCAAATCCTGCGTAAGGTCAAATATCCTCAAATAAGTAAATCTGGTATTTAACACCCTCCATGTGTGGAATAACTGAAGAACCTGGTCATAGAGTATTGTACTCTGATAAAAATGTATCACAGTTCCAGACTCACGCTATTCCTATCCAAGTCCTGATCTTAAATTCACTGAAGCAAATAGCTCTGTTCATTGATGGCTTTCTTTTTAAATGCCAGTTCATACTTTCCAAGGGTCTGTATTTCTGAAAAAACAACTCCATTTTGCATCATGCCACAGTTGTACTCACTTTTTCTTTAAAAAAAAGTGTATACTAATCCAGCAAGTGTCATGCAATGCCTATAAAAATATTTTTCTATTTTTTCTCCTGAAACACTGTTTTAAGAATTTAACATCTTCACAGGTGTTTAATAAATCTGCTGCGAAGATTCATGAGCTGTACACACACACAAAAAATGAACCTAAGCATATTAACCTGATGGTGATACATTACAAACACATGCTGTGAAGTCCTCTGTCTGCTCATGCACAACTTTTGAGGAACATACATACAGAAAATGTATACTTGTTAAATAAATTGTCTTTTCTATGGCTATTACAAAATCAGTGTTGATAAACATATGAACATAAGTTTGAACAACATGGCTACAGTTAATGCATTGTTTTTAAATGTAGAGCATAAATCTTAAAAAGATGTATATAAAAATACAGCATCACAAATGTACAAAACATCATCTTGATGTAACTTTTATGATCCTTGGTTGACAAATCTTCTGATCTTGATCTTCTGAAATATGAGTCCTTCGCGCGTATAAAAGTTCTTACTGCTTCAGCCCAGGCTCCTACAGGAGACTGCCTCTAAAATGTTTATCTGGTTGAAAGACTTCATTGCTCCCTGAAATGTCATTTCACAGTGAGGTTCCCCTGGTACAGGACAGGTTGAACTTTCACATCTCCAGAGACAGTATGTTCAGTATCAGTTTTATCTGTCATTCCCTTGGCATTGGCTAAACTTGTAACAGTATCAGTTTTATCTGTCATTCCCTTGGTATTGGCTAAACTTGTAAAAAAAAGATTAAAAAAAAGACAGATTGAGAAAAAGCTAAATATGACTATATTTAATCACAGATAAAAAAAAAGATTAAAAAAAAGACAGATTGAAAAAAAGCTAAATACGACTATATTTAATCACAGATCTTCAAAAGTAATTTCATGAACAGGGATTTATTTGTCTCAAGTCTTCCATATGAAATCATGAAGTTAAGAGGAAACAATGAACTCTGAGGATGCTCAGGGTACTTGCACAAGGTGCATTCAGTAGCTGTTTGGCAGGAATCCCTTGACAGCCTCTCTTCCAGTCCACTTAATCCTTATTATCAAAATTCAGAGGCACTGGCAGAACTGCACAGCATGAGCTATTTACAGTATGTTTATGTCTGATAATTAAATGTGTCCATTCAGGAAGGTCATTGACCAATACTAATATGCCTTTTCAAAAATAACATACAAAATGAACTAGTATAGAAAAGGAGAGCCAAACACAAGGTTTAGAAGTTGCCTTCTTTTATCTGGATAAAAATATTTGGGTGTTTTGGAGATAGATGTTTCTCCTTTAACACCAGTGAATTTCTTTTGCAGCAGTAAACAAGAAGCTCCTATTTCACTGATAGAAATTACAAAACACTTTAGGCTGTTCTTTCCAGGACCTACAGAATTTATAGAAACACTTGTTCCTGTTGCATTTATTTCAAGACTTTTGAAGTTGTCCCCACTCAGGTAGAAATTTAAATCTGCTGTACTACTTCCTCTAGTTCAAGATGAGCTTTAAATTTAGAGTCCTCATTACTATGTGCTGTTTGTTAATGAATACCCTCCACATATTGCTACAAAAGATGCAAGAGATGCTGCTTAGGATACACCACTGTTTGTGAACATTGCGTGAGTTCCTTGTGTTAAATAATACATTCCATTCAATTTATGACTTCCTGTTCACGAGCAGTTTCAAGTGGTTCTGTGTTCATAATTCAAAATGATTTGTTGAGTGCAGTCAAAGATAATTCTTTATCCATCCATGAGCAGTTGCTGTGGGTATTTAAATCCAAATTGTTTCAGATGGGTTCATATATCACATGGTATACTGTTATTGGCTAATTGGATTGCCTCTCTCCTGTCTGTAACACTGAAACATGCATATTGCATTACAACCGGAATCAGATTTTCCAAAGCAAATGCCTACATTCACAAACACCAAAACTGCCTGTTGTGAGTACTCTGTAACACAGCCTCTGGAACCACTATTTCCAAGTTTCCCAGCAGTAAGTTTTTCACTGTATTCAGTTATTTATTGTTTTCTTTTTAAAATCCTGGTGTAAGTACATTCCAAAAATGATCAGCATTAGAGTATCAACTACCCTACTGTCAGAGGCTACATAGTTATTTTGGTATTTCCACTAGCTCCTAACAATTTATTCACTTTCTGAGGATATGCCCATAGGCATGAATTGAAAGGTTGATTTGTGAATGACAATACAAAAAAGCCAGTAAATTAAAGGGCAGTTATGGTCCACAACATAACTTCTTACTAAACTATTACATTTAACATTTACATTTTAGAACCCTTCGGCTCCGTCTGTTCCAAAGGAGATGACAAAACTCCTCACACACCCTACCCACCTCCCATCTTTCTGCCATAACAAGATCTTTGGTCAGCCTCTCCTTGTTTCAACTCAAAAGAAGCCTGAGGCCATGAGGGAGCTGTGATGCAACTTGACGTGTTTCCCAGCATGACTGCCCCTGTACAAACTCTGACACAGAAAGCTCTACAACTCATCTCGGTGTAGACCTAGAGACCCAAATGAAGCTGGAGCAATAGGTCCTAATTCTAAAAGACTTCTACCAAGCAATTCTATTTGCCTTGCCTGCCACAGTGACATACCAAGGTTGGTGTTACACAGAATTTTTTGAGATAGAACAAATAACATATGCATACACACACAAGTTCCAGTGAAGGAGAAACACCTTGAATGAAATCGATAGGTTTCATCCATGGAAAATAGCAATGCAATTTCTTGGTGCACCTTGGCCTCTGAGTGCTGGCTCTGGGGCCCATTCACAGAGCTCAGAAACTGGCAAGAATTTTCAAGTGATATAATGAACACCCAACAGGAGTTCAGAAATGAGATGTTGGGACAACCAAACAGCTGGAAGCCAATAATACCCCTCTCCCCATCCCACTGGCAGATTAGTATTTCAACAGAAACCATGGGGATGTATCAGAGGTTGATAGAATAGAGGAAACTGTGCTAATCGTATCATTTTGATGTACAGCTTTGAAAGGATCTAGGTTACCATTTTCCTAATCAATGTCATATGATCTTCAGCCCAAAATGCATGTTCCTGTTCTAATGAATAAATTTGGCTTGGGGACTAATAATTGCCAAAGGGCCTTAATTCTTTTGAGGCCTCTGAGGAGGTGACAAAGGAGCTTGCATG